CAACTAAGCTGAAACAAAGAATCATAACAAGAGTCTTCTCTGACTTCATTTAACTCAGGAAAATTCCACTCAATAAAAATGATGGTCAGTCCTTTTGCTTTTGGATTATGAATTTCCTACTGTCTTGCATTTGTACAGTGAACTTAAATGTAAAACCTATTTCCTGAGGCCAAATGGAGACCGTTATAGAATAAAACTCAAGTGACTTCTAGATGGAAACACCAGAATGAACCCAAATAACAAGCCCATTGCAGTATATCTGTGAATCTTGCATATCCTGTGAGATTAACACTGAGGCATGAATCCTGAAGAATAAAGTGTTTTCAGGACTAGGATATTAGAGTCCTGGTCTACAATGACCCAGAGGGATGCTTTACCACTGGCTGAGGCCATATTGGAATCTGCAGTGGCAGCCACGCCTCTGTGGTGCCAGTAACAGTGCGTTGTTGTGTATGATTGTATCTGTTCATCTGGGTGATGCAGTGTCAAAGTGCTGTTGGTGACAGTTGTTACTGATGAACAGCCATAATACTCACCTCATTGTGGTCCAAGATATCCTGGGCCATGAAGGCTTCCATGGCCATTTGAATTCCACAGAGCTTGGAGGACTGAAGGAGAAGGTTTTGTCCATTTTGGTCCAAAGGTAGTTTTACATTTATCTTTTCATGAGTGGGTGGATCCACTTCTAAGAGCGGAGAAATTCTTTGGTCTCTCTGTACATTTCTGTGGCGTGTCTGATCTCAAAACGGAAGATGTGGATTCTTCACCTAGCCTTCCTTCCCAGCCCCATACCTCAGAGGAAATGCAAATAACTGCTGCCCCTGGAAGCCTCTCCACTTTCGGATGCCCTCCTGGCTCTTCCTAGTGGCTGGTTTGGGACCACTTGACAAATGCAAGTTTAAGCATCACATTGTTCTTCGTTTTTATGATGGTGAGGGAGGCCTCATATTCAGTTTCCTGCCTCTAGTCTCTGCCTCACAGTTATGTACCCAGGTGTTGTGATCAAATGTGCAGAGCAGAAAGCACTGAGGATGTCTCCTCCCCTGCTAAGCAGAGGTTTCTTCTGGCTTGTAGGAGTCTACATTTCCTAGAGTTCAGTGATTGCATGGCCTCCCATGATCTGCCTCCATCCTTATCTACTACTTCTCTTCCCTTGCAGACCTCTTAGCCTTTGTAAAGGGACACCGCCTGAGGTAGTCCCCATCTCCATCCCACTGGCTTTTCTCTGGGCCTTTGCTCCTGTTAACCACGTGGCCTGGAGTACTGTGGTTCCCTTACCGTTTTCCTCTCAGTTTTCCATTCTGATCTGTCTCAAGAAGTACTGGTTTCTCTCCAACTAAGTATGGATTAGAGTAGAATTTTTCCTTGTTGATTTGTTACGCAGATTTAGTCACATCAGATATGTGAAACCCAGAACAGCATCTGGCCCAGATTGAGTGTTTAATAAAAGTTCCTGGTGGCCAGTCCTATAGCAGATGGGAGCCCAAAAAATTGAGAAGGGAGAAGAGAGCCACCCAACCAAGTAGCCACATTGTAGGCTTTGAGAAGAAAGAAATAAGTCCCACTTGCAAGTGTGGAAGACAGAGAGCCAGAAAGGTGGGATGCGAAAGTGGAAAGCCAAGGACTGATGCATCTGTTGTGTTTATTACACAGTGGGTTGTTTATCCATTCATCCATCAGTAGATGCTTGGCTTGTTTCTACTTGTACGCCATTGTGAATAATGCAGTGGACAGCACGGGTGTGTATAAATAACTCTTCATGACATTGCCTTCAGTTCTCAGAAGTGGAATTGCTGGACCGTATGGTGACTGTATGTTTAATTTTTTGAGGAATCACCATATTGTTTTCCACAGTGGCAGCACCATTTCACATTGCCACCAGCAGTGAAGAAGAGTTGTAGTTTTTCTTCAGCCTCACCAGCACTTATTCTTGGTGTCTTTTTAAATAGTAGGCATTCTCATACTCCCAAAATTTTTATACAGATTTAATGTGATCCAAATCAAAATACATTAGCATATGTCACAGAACTAGAGAAAACAATCCTAAAATTAAGTTGCAATCCAAAGAGATTTGGAATAGCAAAGACAACTCTGGGCAGCAAACACCTGACTTGAAATTATAGTACAGAGCTACTGTGACAAAATCAACATGGTGCTGGCAAACAAAACAAAACAAGCAAACAGACCTGAGGATCAGTGGAATAGACCAGAAGATGGGGAAACAACCCAAACACACTCATCCATCTTCCTTTTGACAAAGGGGCCAAACACATTTGCTGGAAGAAGGATAGCCTCTTTAATAAGTCGTGCTGGAAAAACTGGCTTTCTATATACTGAAGACTAAAACTAGACCCATGTCTCTCACCATGCACTAAACTAAAATCAAAATGGATCAAAGATCTAAATATTAAATCAGAAACACTAGATCTACTAAAAGAGAGAATAGGTACAACTCTGGAGGATGTGGGGTAGGCAAAGACTTCATGAACAAAACCCAGACCACACGGGAAATAATACAAAGAATCAACAACCAGGATCTCATCCTAATAAAAAGCTTTTGCATGGCAAAAGTAATCACCAACAAAAGGACAATGCACAGAGTGGGAAAAAATTTTAGCTACTTGTTCCTTAGACAAAGGACTAGTATCTAGAACATACCAAGAGTTGAAAAAAATCAGAGCCCCCTAATTTAAAGACCCAATACAAAAATGGGCATCTAAATGAAGAGACACATCTCAGATAAAGAAGTACTAACAGCAAATAAATACATGAAAAAAGGTTCAACATCTCCGGTCATTTGAGAGATGCGAATTAAAGTTGAGATTCCCTCTCATTCCAGAAAGAAAGACTGTTGTCAAGAAATCAACCAACAATAAATGCTGGTGGGGCTGTGGGGAAAAAGGAACCCTTTCACGCTGTTGGTGGGAGTGTAGACTGATGCAACCACTTTGGAAATCATTGTGGAGATTAGAGGTACCATTTGACCAAGGTATTCACTTTCTGAGCATCTTCCCAAAGGAGTTGAAAAAGCATCATACCACAGTGATATTTGTGCATCCATGTTTATAGTGGTACAGTTTGTAATCGTGGAGACACTCCAAATGCCCATCGGCCGATGAATGGATAAGAAAGTTGTGGTTCTTTTATACAGTGGAGTACTGTTCAGCCATAAAGAAGGACAAACTCGGGACATTTCTAGCCAAATGGATGGACCTTGGGACTATACTCCTAAGTGAAATAAATCAGACATAATGTATGTAAATATTGCATTGTCTCTCTGGTGTGCAAAACTGAAAGGGTAAATAAGGACCAAAATGTATAATAGGTAATATGAAAGAAGAAATGGTTCAAAAGGAAAGGGGAACTAGGAAGGAATTGGTGGAGGGTGGGGAGAAAATAAAATGAGAAGAGAAGGAAAAAATGGAAACAGAGCTTTTGTAAATAAGGAGGGGAAGAGGGGTTGAATGGAGGGGAGGGGATTGGGGAAAAAAGGAATCAAGATAGATCATGTACAGGTACAAATCCCCTATGATGAATGTGGTCATTATGTATATCTAAATTGTACCAATAAAATTAATAAAATTAAAAAAAAAATAGACATCCAAATGGATGTGAAAGATAAGTCATTGTGGTTTTAATTTGCATTTCTCTAATAAGTAATGACATTGGGCGTCTTTTCATATGCTTATAGGCCACTTTTGTATTTTCTGGAGAAATGCTCTTTACACACTTTTTTTTTTTGGTACCAGGGATCAAACTCAGGCCCTTGCACTTGCGAGGCAGGTGGTGGAACCACTGAGCTAAATCTCCGGCCCCCTTTGCACATTTTTAAGTGGATGGTTTGCTTGTCTTGGATTGAGGGAAACTGCAGTACCTACCCTTTCACCTGTTGCAAACATTAACAACAATGCACTAACTTTTATTGAGCACTTGTATTATTCTTGCATTATGCTGAATGTTTACACAGATTTCCCCTTTTGCTCCTCACAACCTTTTAAAAAGATACTATAATCATCTCCATCCTATGCTTGAAAAAGTTGAATCTTAGAGGTCTTGCCCACATTCTCAAAGCTACTGACAACAGTTTAACCCTAATCTGACTCAGATTAGAACATAGACTGACTTCTTAACCCCAGGCAAGGATCTGCTATTGAATCCACTTCATAGATAACAGTTTATCCATATGATTGCAAAAAATGATATTTTATAGGAACCCACCAAGAGCTCAGGACCTCATTCTTTCCGTACAAACTTACTTTGTTCTATATAAAGAATCAGTTCCTAAAATCCTAAAGGTTTGCATCTGAAAGCAAATATGGAAAGAGGTAGAACTTTAGTGCTAAATCTACAGCTATTCCAGAAGGCTTCTAAATGGAATGAGAGACTCAGCAAGGATCCAGGTTCCTGCTGCACTCATTTAGTTGGTGATACAGGTACTGCTCTTGGGCCCAGTCCTTTCTTCACTTGTAACAACCTTGTGATCCCCAGGCCCTTTGCATCCAAGACACAGTGTTGTCCATCATTTGCCCCCTGTCTGTCTAGGTTTGATGGTGGTGAGGGAATAGTGAAGGCCAAGGTCGGAGATCCACATCTTGCCCCTCTGGGGGACCAGATTTGCATTCCTAGCTGAGTCTCACACAGTGGTTCTTTGGGGAACATTATCCATTCTTTTTAAGTTGCCTTTTATCTGGCCCTGGGTTCACGCAGCTGGGGCTGGGGCCGGGGCCAGAGCCGTGACTTACGCTTGGAAGAAATTAATGGAAACATTCCCCAGCAGGGCTTGGGCAGGCCCAGGGAGTGCCGCCTAAAATGCAGTGGACAAAGCTGCCCTTGTCCACAGGCCTGGGGGTGGGAGGCATATGGTCAGTGACACAGGCTTGGCCATTGTATGCCCTGACTTCAGCCAACTTTTTTTTAGCTGAGAAAGGGAAAAAAGAAAGTGAAGAAGAAAAAAAATGAAGTCCTCCAGAAACTTTGCATCTGGAAAGTCCAGAATGAGTTGTTGATTTCCCGACAGGCATTGGAGCAGATTTGGAAGGAACTATGCAATGTAGTGGGTTCTTTGTGAAAGAACAGTGGTGAGAAAAGCCACAGGAACATCCTCCCGGGTGTCCGGAGAACAGGCCCAGCCTCATTTGCCACAAAGGGCGGCAAGGAGAGGAAGCTGGTTGGAGCCTATCTCTGAGGCTGGACGCTTCACACTGGGCTTGAGTCTCTTTTCCAAGGTTGCAGCCCCCAAGGAGGATTAGCCATTCTCTGATGGTAAGATCGATTCTGCCTGCTTAGATGTGTGTGCTCAGCTCACCATCTCTGCATGCTTGCTTCTAAGGTATCTTTGGCATTTAGGAGAGGCTGTTCTGAAAACCCTCTGATATTGGGGCTCTTCTTGCTAAGCCTTAATGGTTTAGGGATGCTGCTTCTCTGGAGACATCTTTCATAGGCCTAAGGCACGGACAGGGAGAAAAGACCTGGGCTATTTGTGAGAAATCAGGAGAGGATGGGAAGAGGACAGAGATTTAGGAAGAGATGTTTATGTGGGAATGGGGTTAACCAGGGCACAGTTAGTTGAAGGCATGTGATGGAGAAGCAGAGTGATGTGGGTTTGTCCTCTGTGGTAGGAATTGAAACCTTGCTTCCTTCACTTAACTTTTCCAAATATGAAACATGGCCCCATGGCCTAGGTCTACCTGGGACACTAAAATGCATTCTTGGTGGGTCCACTGTAAAGCTCTACATGGAGGTAGAGGGGGCTACTGGAGGATGAGCTCATTAGACCAGTTTGGTGTCCACCCTGCGATGCACTGTGGCTTGTCTTCCTTACAGGTTGTTGTTCGCAGCTGCAACAGCATGAGCTCTTCTGAGACATAGGGATAGAACAGCTTTGTTCTGTTGACCTTTTCGCCTCTGGAAGCTAGACATCCCTTTTCTTGGAAAGAGGGACCTCTAGTCAGCCTCAGCTTTCAGTGATTCTGTCCTGAGGCTGTCTCAGCTGAGAGGCGCTGCTTGTAGGGGAAAGCTGTTCTGTTTCCATGCAGAGTCTCCTTCCACTTAGCCAAGCCAGTGATTATCCCTGATTTTGCCATAGCTTTTGGGAGAGACCTGAACCAGTGCCAGGAGAAAGGGTACAGTACTTATTATCCGGGGCATCATTGACCTCCTAGAAAAGTCCACAGCAGGGCTTCTGAAAGGTTAGCATGAGTCTGAATCGCGCCGAGACCTTTAAAATACACATCTTGTGTTAGGGTAGTGCGTGGGGATCTGCATTGCTAGCCACCTCCCAGAAGATTCCTGTGCTGCTGGTGTGGGGGCCATCGTCAAAGAATCGCTACTGTGCGGAAGGCAGACCAATGGCGTCAAGTTCTAAGTTAAGGCTGCCTGGGATCTAACTGCAGAGGACTGAGACTGTGGACTGAGACAAGGCAGTTCATAGAGAATAAGGGATGACACTAAAGCACTTGTGAGGAGCTGGGAAGAGCCCGAGTCCAGCTCTCGGCAATGTAGGGCATGTAGGCTACAGAGGCCGTTGGTGGGGTGAGTCCCAGTTGATGTGGACCATGTGCTTGGGATGTGATGTTAGTGTGACCCTGAAGCACTAACTGCTAGCAGGCAGGCCCGGAAAACTTCTGCTGGAGCCCGCCTGTGCTTCAGAATATAACAGGCGACTAACACAGGGACAGAAGCTCAGGATGCCAGGGAAGAAGTTGGCAAATAGAGCTTGGATCTTGAGTGTGGCTCTCCCAGGGGAAAGGGTGAACACAGACACACTGGTCCAGAGCGCCCTGTGGTGAGAGGAAGATCACGGGTGTCTGGGGCCTGGGCAGCTCTTCAGGAATTGTCCTTGCCTTTGAATCATGTACCTACTCTTGAAGGAGATATTTCTCCTCCTACAAAATGACATGTCCTTAGATCTACTACCAACATTTAAAATCATTGAGTATTAGGCTATATATATTAAAAACAAGTCCACAGAGACCATCTGCTCCAACTTCTGCATTTAAGAGATGAGGAAATTGAGGCCTCCCAATGGAGACACAACAGGTTGCTTAAGATCTCACAAGACTTAGCTTCAGGCCTGGCCCTCAGGTCCCAGTTCATGTCTTGTGCACATTGCCGCAGCATGATGGTAGGTCCCAAAGCTTGATAGCAAGGTCCCTGGCCGGCACCTCCTGTGTAGTTTATATACATGGGTAATAGAAGCTCTCAAAGTGCAGTTGAATGGGGTAGTTGGATAGCACCCCTCACTGACCCCCAGAAACAACTGCCACCTCTGCTACGATTCCTTTCCCTCCAGGCCTCTTGGTTCAGAACCAATTAGGAAAGCTAGAAGTCTTTGGTCAGGATCACTGGGAGCACAGATAGTGCTGCAGAGAAACTAGAATGAGTCTCCATGGTGACACTCTCTACTTCCGTTTTCTTTTGGTTCCAGGGGGCCTCTGCAGCCCTCAGTGAGCTGCCACAAAGCCAGGCCAGCTGGATGGCAGCCAGGGGGCAGGCAGGCAGAAACACCTGCCTTTGTGCCCTAATGAGCTCCAGTTCCCCAAGGAGCACTACTTTGCCCCTGGAGCATCTGCTCAGAGCAGCCCACATCCTCTGCCCTTGAAGTTCCTTCCTGGTGAGCAGCTGCTTTGCCTGCTAGCTGAGCCTGTGACTGGTGGAGCCAGCAACTTTCAACTGCCTTCCTCACTTCTGAACAACTTCTATTATTATCATTATCATTATCATTATTATTATTGCTGTTAATTGAAACAATAATTGTATATGTGTAGTAAGCACAGTACAGTATTTAATGTGTAATGATCAGATCAGGGCAGATAGACATTTATCATTTTTTTGTATTAGAAGCATTTAAAATCCTCTCTACCAGCTATTGTGAAATATTCAATTAATTGTTGTCAGCCATAGTTACCCTATTGTGCTGTGAAATGTAGGAGTCATTTCTCCTATCCAGTGTACCTCTGTATGTGTGTTTTCCCCCCTTCTCCCTCCCCGACACCCTTCTGGGGCTCTGGTAACCAATATTTGAGCCAGGGATTTGGCTCTGTGTTTCTGCAGCCTGCCTTGCAAGTGCCAGGAGCTGAGTTCGATCCCCGGTACAAAAAAAAAAAAAAAAAAGAAAGAAAGAAAGAAAGAAATTAGCCTTTTAGCTTCCACATGTGCTTCTAAACTTCTTGCATCTATTCTGAATGAACAGAATGCTTGGTGAAATCTGGTTACATAGTTTTATTCAGAGATATCATAACTTTAGAAAGGGCCAAAACAGTGACAAAGGGAATTTTGTGTTTTGCAGCTTAATAACAAAGGAGGGGTAGGGAAGGTACACTATGTCTGTCTGTCTGCTCTGTTTCAGCACTGAATACTGGAGACTCTGGTTCCCCAGCTTTTCACCTCTGTGAAGGGAAATTTGACCAGGAGTCATTTAAATGAGTCTCACCCTGCCAGGAGCTCCTCAAGTGAGTGTTGGAGGCAAATAATCCTGAAAGTGTCCTTCAACAGAGTCTTCTAGGGCAAGATAAATAATTCAGTGTATTAGAGATAGAAGCTAGCGTAGAAAATCTGGGATATATTTTTGAGATCACTGATTTTCAGCTACATTGCAGCCCAACTCCGTCTTAAAACAGATTGAGACATTTTAGCACAAATTGGCCACAGCAGTGACCTGTGGCAGGGTGGAGAATCCCCAAGTGATTGGCCTCCTACCATGGACCTGAAGTCATGGCTACAGTCTCATATCCTAGGCTGGGCGTCTATGTCCAGTTTTTGTTAAATCTCTTCAATTTATTGGTTGCTCTGGTACCATTTTTTCCCTACCAACTCCACGTCAAATTGGCCAATAAAATGGTAGGATATCTAGATAAAAAGATTTATCACCTCTTCCTCCTTACAACCAAAAGAGCTTGAGAGAAACAGGGAAGGTAGAGCAAAAAGAGAGAAATGTCTCATGAACATCATGTTCCTCACTGGAAAGTCTCTGTTATCTCTTCTGTTTCTGTGACTGTTGGTTTTGCAAGCTGAGCTGAACCCCTAAATGCCTTGACATGTGGTGTGGTTTTAGACTCTGTTATGAAAGCTGCCCCATGGGTCCTAGTGCCATGGTCTAGAGGGCTGCAACCTGTTCATTTTACAGATGAATAAACAGAGGCCTAGAGCGGCCACAGGAAGTGCACACATTGCTCTTTGTTGTCTTCTTTTTACATTTGTGCCAGTGTGCTTTCTACTAATACTTTCATTGTCCCTAATTGGAGCTGGGCTATCAGAACATCCCACTGTGCTTTTCTACTGCCAGGGAAGGAGTTGGAGGGAAGGAACCAACATTATTCAGCAGTCCATCAGAAAGGAAGTAGGGAGTTTTAATAAAATGTCTCTGTTAACACATTCACAAGAGGGCTGTAATTCGTATATCTTGCTGCTGGGTGACTCTGAACCTCCAGTGGTACACGTGTCAGTGTCCCATTGGGTATCATGGGACAGTCATGCATGTACCACCAGTGGCTCAAGCCACTGGGAACATGTTAATTGAAAGCTGGTGCTATGGTTTACATATGGTTTGAATTTCCCTCCTAATGGGTCATGTGCTGTGTGGACTTGTTGAGCTGGTGGAACCCTTAAGGGGGAGCTAATGGAATGAGATTAGGTCATGGCGGCATAGCCTTCAAAAGGAGTCAGTGTTGGTCTCATTGAGATCACTTTTAGGAAAGAGGGTTGTTACACAGTGGGCCACCCCACATGTGCAGTCGCTTCTGCACACTGTCAGCCCCTTTCTGTTTTTCTGCCATGTTGTGACACCAATGGCCATACTCTTTGATCTCCAAAACAGTTAGCTAAATGAGCCTCCTTTCTTTAAGTACTCAGCTTCAGGTATTTTCTTACAGCAATACAAAATGGTGTGCAGAATAGGCTGCCAAGAGCAAATTCTTGCCTCTTTTAATTGCATTGAAGCATCAGAGCCAGACAGACCTTGTCAGTGGGATAAAACAGATGGGCTTTCTCTGGAGTTCCCTAACCCAGGTTTCAAGATGGGAAAAGAGTTCCTGTTTGTCATCCTACTTCTGAGTAATTTTCAGAAGTACTTGTTAGAGCTGCTCGCTCCCTCCTTAAGTCCTGTGGGCCTGGCATGCGTCTGCTCTAATTGTCTATAAACAGAGGTAAAAGGAGTGACTCATATTCAATGGCACAATAATGCTTGTTGGTCAGTGCTGAGATTCTCCCAAAAGATATAGATGAGAGACCAATTCTTAGGTCTCTATTATATTATGTGCTGTCAC